CTTCGCATTGACATAATAATAATAATAAACAAACCCAGTGTCAAAATCGAACACATGGAATCCACAAATAGCAGATAGGCAGGAAAAAAAAAATACGAAACCAAAGGGACATTTCATAACTAGCATGTTGCCAATGCATTCGATAGTTTCAATGGTGTCTATCTGTCTATCTATCACACATAATCACACACTATCATGGTTTGATGTGCGATATTTTCGGTGCAAAACGTAAAAATATATATCAGAACAAGTTGACAGCCCAGTGCTGCCATTGGTGGGTTGACATTATGTATTCATTTATACACACAACGCTCGCCGCCCATCTCAATCTACGTTGATTATCGATTATTCATCACGGATCTTTTATTGATTGAACCTTTGAAAGATCTGATAAGATAATAATGCTTCTTGTTGGAAGGTGTGATGCTAAAGAAGCATATGAAGGTACGAATAATGTGAAAGAATTGCATGTAGGTAAATGTCTTGGCATTTTTTGCTTATATGGTCACTACATGTATATATACAGTATTATATTAAGTATTATCGATATACAATATACAAATCAATTTTATTTTATCTTGTCCCTCCAATCATCTGCAACCTTGAATTGCTTATCGCAATATATTTACTTTTATATATGAATGAACAATTATTAAATAAATTTTTTCCCAAAATGTTATTTATTTATTTTAATCGATTATTTGTCATACCCAAAATCATGAAGGAAAGCTTATCGACTATCAGGAGGCCTTTAAATAGAGCCATCCCAAACGCTTGCAGACCAGCTGAAAAAAAAATACGACTCTTTTGTAGCCCTTCAATTAATTGTACCTGTTATTCTCTATCTGTCTATTCAATGTACTATAAAAGCATTCGGCTGATATAGGGGAATCTACATCCAAACTAATATCGAGAATTTTGGTGCGATTTGTTTACTACTACTGGATAGAAGGAAAAACGCATTATTTTTAGCTTTATCAAAAAGTATTAGACTATTATATGCAAACACAATAATCAATTATTGTAAGCTGAAGAAACCTTTCCCATTATTACCTTTCTCTTTGTAAACTATAATATATCTATCTCTACGCATTCTATTAGAATTTTTATAACACAAAAAAACAACAAAAACAAACCTAATGTCTGAAGAAAAGAAGGTCGTTTCCTCTGACGAAATAACAGAGGAAATAGTCACCGTCACTACAGAACACGTCAGTGTCACTAATGAAAAATCAGAAACCATCGATGAGAAACAGGAAAAGAAAGTTGGCAATCTCCAAGTGGAAGAACATGAACATATCCACGTAGCCGAGGACATCCCACCAGAGCTCGAAGAGCTGCTTCACACAGATCCAACAAAAGGTCTCACTACCGAGGAAGCCGCAAAGCGAATGGAAAGATTTGGTCGCAATGAAATTGCTGAAGTGAAGACTAATTATCTACTAAAGTTTTTGGGTTATTTCACCGGTGCTATTGCTTACTTGATCGAACTGGCTTGCATCTTTGCGATTGTTCTCAAACATTGGGTAAATTTTATTTGTCAACGATCTGGCGAATCATTAGTATACTTGCCGATTTGGTATTATTAAACTAATCCTCGTTATTTCTCTAATCTTTTTTTTTTTCCCTCTTAGCTCGACTTTGGTGTCATTCTAGCCCTTCTCTTTACCAACGCTTTTATCGGTTTCATCGAAGAAGCTCGTGCCGAGTCTGCTCTCGACGCCCTCAAAAACACGCTTGCACTCAAGGCAAAAGTCTGGCGTGACGGTCACTTTATCGATCTCGATGTCGCAGAACTGGTACCCGGTGATGTTATTGGTCTTCGTCTTGGTGATATCATTCCCGCCGATGCTCGTTTATTGGGTATTTCAGTCACTGGTGGCGAAACTGAAGGTGCTCTCTCCATCGATCAATCTGCATTGACCGGCGAATCGTTACCAGTCGAGAAGAAGAAGGGTGATACCGTTTACGCCTCGTCCATTGTCAAGCAGGGCCAAATGTTGGCTGTCGTCATAAAGACTGGCAGTGACACTTTTATTGGCAGAGCTGCAAATCTGATTTCGATTACTGTCGAACAGGGTCATTTCCAGAAAATTGTCAACCAAATTGGAAATTTCTTGATCTTGATTACGAGTGTGTTGGTCGCTATCATTTTTGTGTACCAAATGATCAAGTTCCGTCACACTGATGATGGAAAGGTACTCAATGTCCTCGGAAACGTTCTCGTGCTCACCATTGCTGCTATTCCCGTCGGTCTTCCAACTGTATTGTCCGTCACCATGGCTGTGGGTGCTAAGCAACTTGCTGCAAAGAAGGTTATCGTCAAACGTCTTACGGCTGTAGAAGAAATGGCATCCATCTCTGTATTATGTTCAGACAAGACTGGTACCCTAACGCTCAACGAACTCACTTTCGACAAACCTTATTTATCTCCTGGTTTCAGCGAAGAAGACATTCTATTATACTCGTACTTGTCAGCTGAGCCTGGTGCAAATGACCCAATTGAGTCTGCCGTAAGAACTGCTGCCGAGAACAGTCTCGATTTGCTCAAGAATCGTCCCAACAAGCATGAAATCCCCGGATACAAACAGACTGCCTTTGTTCCATTTAATCCAACCACCAAGATGACTTCTGCCACTATTCTCAATGTCGACACGAAAGCTGTATTCAAAGTAGCAAAGGGTGCTCCGCAGGTGATAATCAACTTGGTCGGCGGTGATGACGAGGCTGTCAAAGCAGTTAATGCACTTGCACGTCGTGGTCTTCGCGCTCTCGGTGTGGCCCGCACGAAACCTGGTAATCTTGAGAATTACGAATTAGTCGGTATGATCTCCCTTCTCGATCCTCCACGTCCAGACTCTGCCGAAACCATTCGTCGATGCAATGGCTACGGTGTTGAAGTTAAAATGATTACAGGTGATCAATTGATCATTGCCAAAGAAGTCGCTCACCGTCTAGGAATGCAACGTGTTATTCTCGATGCCAACCACTTGGTAGATGCCACAAAGTCTGAAGAAGAAGTAACAGAACATTGTGAGAGAGCCGATGGATTTGCTCAAGTCATTCCTGAACACAAATACCGAGTAGTAGAATTATTGCAAAAGAAAGGATTGCTTGTCGGTATGACTGGTGATGGTGTGAATGATGCCCCAGCTTTGAAGAAGGCTAATGTTGGTATTGCCGTTCACGGATGTACGGATGCTGCAAGGTCCGCTGCTGATATCGTATTGCTTGCACCTGGTCTTTCTACAATCGTTGATGGTATTACAACTTCAAGAGCAATTTTCCAACGTATGCGATCATATGCCTTGTATCGTATCACCTCCACAGTGCATTTCTTGATGTTCTTCTTTACCATTACTCTCGCCCGTGATTGGACCATGGAAGCTATTCTTTTGATTTTGATTACCATTCTTAATGACGCTGCAACCCTTGTCATTGCTGTTGACAACGCAAAGATATCGAAACAACCAGACAAATGGCGTCTTGGTCAACTGATAACTCTATCAATATTGCTCGGCGCTCTCCTCACGGCAGCATCGTTTGGTCATTACTTCATTGCACGTGATGTATTCAACATTCCCGAGAAGGGGGACGACAAGAGACTCGAGACAATCATGTATCTTCATATTTCTTCATGTCCGCACTTTGTTATCTTTTCTACACGTCTTTCCGGTTACTTCTGGGAGAATCTTCCATCACCCATCTTCTTCGTGGCTGTTATGGGTACTCAAGTCTTTGCCATGTTTATCTCTATCTACGGTGTGCTTACTCCCGCCATTGGTTGGGGATGGGGTCTTTCGATCATCAGTTTCTCGCTTGTCTACTTCTTTGTACTTGATTTTGTCAAAGTGCAATTATTCAAGCGCTGGTCATTTGCGTTTACTGCTAGGGTTTTCCCAACCCCAACAAGGAGAAACAAGTTACAAGCTCGTAAGGTCGAGGCAGAACGTTTGAAGAAGGTTGCCAAGACTGTAAAGAAAATTAGAAAGGTTGTATATGTCTGCAAAGCATTAATGGTCATGAAGGGATCCTCCACTAAGAAGCTTACGCAGCAAGAAGCGGCGTAGGAGCCAACAATTCTATACTGTTCATTCAATTTACTCTTAATATTTTAACCACATTTTCATCAAGCATTTTTTTTTTTTTGTATTTACATTTGGATAGACAAAATAAACCACATTTTCACTGATTGAGTGAAATGTAAATTTGATTTTAATTATGTAATTGATTTCCGGGATTTTACTTTTTTTAATAAAAAACAAAACTTTTTAATATGCAATTGGGTTACTGAATGTAGGAAGAGACTAATGTTAGATTGAGTTTCCAAATGCAAATAAATTTCCAACTTTCAACAGGCAACGTTAATTGCGTGTGACTCTGTTTATTATATCGAATATTGAAAAACCAAACTCTTATTGGCATAGCAAGAATGCGAATCATTCAGCAATATGATTTTGTCAGTTAATTATCTCTGTATCGTGGGTGTTTTTTTTCCATATGAAATGCAATATTAGACGCCACAAATAATGTCATAACTTTAAAGAGCAAAAGAAGAAGATAATAATAGTAATCCGAACTTTTTTCCTCGACGTGTGAATAAATTTTAATAACATTCTAAAGCGGTAGTGATCAGCATGCCATGCGGTTACATTATCGTGCATTCTAATAATTGACCCTGTGTTATCTGCGTTACACGAACACTGACTGGGATGTTAATAATGGGGATATCACGTGAATATGTATGTAATAATCATGTAGTCTCTTCATTGGTATAGGCAAAATAGCGTTTATTACACAATCCGATTTATCAAATCTACTTATAATAATGGTTGTGTTTATTATTTCTTAATACGAATAATCCGAAATATTTAATAACTCTGTAAACGTCTATCTATGAAAGCTAGAGTAACGTTAATTTCCAGACATCAAAGTATATTAATGAAAAAAAGCAAACGAGAAGCCTATCAGATATTTTTGATTTTAATAATGCAAAATAATTAAAAATATTGTGCAGGAGAATTAGTGCTGAATACGAATAATCTAATCCCAGGAACCAAAGCTTGGATCCAGCCAACTAAATGCTGTGCTCGATTAATTCCCCCAGCACCGTTGAAAGCCCATATATATTTTGAATCTGAATATTGTGTCAATGCATTAATCGGACTACCTGGTGGTGGGTAGCGGTTAAGTTGAAAGTTGGGCAAATTTTGCCCACCAACATCGGCTACAACGTAGGTTGGATCAATTAATCCGCGTATCTCATCGTGCTTATCTAAAAATAGATTGAATTCATGGCTTATCATAGCAAAGGCCCAAGCTCCCTCGCTGTTATCCCCTGTTCCATCGATAGCAATTCGACCGGAGATAAGTTTTGCGATTGGCATAACATCGTCTTCATTCCAAAGCGAAGGTGGTTTATTTGAAAGCTTTGTTGCGGGCTCTAAAAGTAATTTCCCTGAAAGTATAGAGTAATAAGTTCATAAATATTTGGCGTTTTTCTTATATAGCGATAGTGCTAAGCATACCTTGGAGTGGTTCATCGTTTTGTACTGCAGTACATTTAAGGTCTGCGTCTTTATCCGCGGCAATACACCAGGCTTGGTATGCCTCGTCGATTTCTTCCTGAATAGTTTTCTCTTTCCTATTTCTCTCAACCAGTTTTTCCTCCATCTTTGTTTCTTTTCTCCCGCTTTTCTTTGTTTCTTTTTTTCTCCTTTCCAATCGTCCTTCTTTTCGAAAACAAACTAACAAAAAGTATACATTAGGTATGAAAAGAGAAGAGTCGTCATACTAATAAGACATAACAACTTACCTTTTTCTAGAGAACAAGATGATACGCGTAAAAGAGAAGAAATAGTTTTGCTGTTTACGTTGAGGTTCGCTAGAAAGAAGTTTTTCGATTACGCGTAAGGTTTTTGGTATCCCGTGATTATAAATGTGGTTGAGACAACAAATAAAGGAAATGTGGGTTCAATCTTTACAATAAGTTAACTAGCAATCAAAAAAGATTCATCAATGATAATATAGGTGAAATTCTCTGATTGGCCGATCACAATCGATGAACAATCGTGCAGCTAATTGGATATCATGCGCGTTATTGCAAGTATAAGAGGGACACGTAGGGGAGGCAACGACAATCATTTCCCGACAAATATTTCCCAACATTATTTCGAAGTTATCCTTTCTCGGTAGTTGATTGTCGGTCGGACCCACACGTAGAGTGAGCTTAATAAAAAAAAATCATGCAGAGCTATCAGAACACGTGAAGATATGGATTTTAAAGCACAAGTGATGTGTAGTTTTGATATGGTTTGATGGTTTAGAGACAAATGCAAATGCAGGATGCTTAGAAAATTTACTGAAGACGTTCGACCGAGCTAAAGTTTTTACAGGTAATCAGGATTTGTAATACATTATAGCAAGGAAAATTTCAAAGCATTTACTCATTTATGTCGGGTGTACGGTGACCTTTGAACAGTGAATAAGTCAGCTTGATAAATGCCTTTAGCTTTCGAATCATACAGTGATCATTAATTGTTACATGTTTATGGCATACAAATTTTATTCGCGTCTTTGGTTGCGGATTTTCGTTGGGGGTCATTGTCAGCGTTTGCATCTTTCGGGGCTACCTAATATGGCAATTGAGATTCCAATCGGTTTTTGTCCTAATAACAGATCGACAAATTCTCCGTTTTTAATTTTCATCAATGGACGAGATTTATATTTCAACAAGCCCAAAGTCAAATGAAGTTCAGGAAATGCATTTACTTCCTTGTAATATCAACTACAATGGAAAAGCAAACGTAAATGCATATTTTTTCATCGAAGAACTGGACACGGATCAATCTGCAAATGTGAATAATAGTGCAACTGGTAAGGCTTGGTCAATATTGCATAAATTTATTCAATACTCATAGAGACTGCGAATTGGCTTAGCCTGACTAACTCTTTTGTTTTTCCAACCTTTATCCTAATGTACGAATCGGTAAAGGTTTACTTGGAGGTTGGTTGTTTAATGAATTACGTGCTCTTTTGCGTTCATGATTAAAATTGACAATAAAAGACATCTCGTGAACTGTAGAAAAAATATACGAGTCTTCTTTCAGAGGTAGACACCTTTTAGGAAAGCAGATTGATATCCCAGAGAACCTCAAAGGTCGTTGAATGAGCTTTATATGTGATTAATTGAGTAGCTTGCTGATTTTTATTAACAACTCGTTTTATTCAGGCTATATTTTCAAAGAAACAAATCAACCTTCAATTTCTCCGCAAACTTTTATGGACAGCCCTGATGGAAGCGAACAGACGCGTTACTGGGATGTTGTACAAACATTCCAGTCGTTTATGCTTTGGAATCAAGACGATGCTCCCGACTCGAATGATTGCGTTGTTAAAGCAATGGATTGGATGAATGTAGCGAGATGTGTAAGTGGTAAATGTTTGGATGTGAGAGACCTATTACTACCAGGAATAATCTGCCAATTAAACTCTATTTCTTTTTAGATACATGAACCTACTCCCCCACCAACATGATAATTCGGTCTTTTATGTAATTAAAATGCACAGTACGAATATTGGGCTGTGGACAAGAGGTAATTGAGTGTCATCTTTCAATTGCTAGTGCTAAAGTAAATTCATGAATTGAGAATGTGAGCAGTTGGGCCTCTCAGGCATATCAATTTCAATTCATCAACTACAGTTTCTGTCAACCAACAAGGTGTATTTATTGAATATCCCCGATACCAATCAATTCAAGCACAACATTAATAATCATACATGTAATATACAATCCGATCAGAGAGTATCCCCATTTTCTCGTCATCCAGTAGTCCGTACGAGGTAAGTAGATCAACGATGATGCAAGCGATATCAAGAGCCCAATGGATGAAACGAATAATGTGGGAGAGACGCTGATTTTGTAAGACTCTTGCGTCTTCAATGTCATATACGTACCACTTATGCCAACCCCGAGGAGGATGTCTGAAGCAACAATGTATGATGAGATGCGAAGAGCTCGTAATTGAATAGCATAAATACGAATTCATTGAACTTACTAAGCATCGGTCCCCCAAAGCATGCACTCATGGCCATCATTGGGAATCCCATACGTGCTATTGTGATGTTAGCCACAAAGTCTCCGAGGCTGTTGCCCTGTTATATCAAATAAGATAAATACTTGAACACAAGAACGATACACACATGTAATGCACACAATTACCATAGCAAAGATAGTCAGTCCCAGTATAGCATCACTCAGGCCCATTATTAATCCTATAGCCTACACACGAAGAAAGCAATTGCTTAGTATCTATTACGGAAAGCGACGAACAATCATCTACTATTCTTGGAGCAAATACCTGAAGCACCCCAACAACTTCATTGGCCACAATAAATATCCATACAATTGCAACTGCAAAACCGAGAAAACAGAATAACGTATAATAAGATGGTGGGCGATCACAGTCTGTGGTCCTCAGATAAAGTAGCGAAAGAATGAAGCCGACAGCAAAAGCATAAAGGATGGCCTTGCAGTCGAAACCATTAGTCACTAAAAACATACGAATCTCAATTAGACGGTTATTATATATATGGCTCATTCTTCTAAAGCAAACGCTTCTTACCAACAAGAACGCTAACAACAAATACAGGAGCAGATACAAGTTGAAAAGTGGTCAACCATCTACTCCACCCGTTTTCTCCATCTGCGCCCTTCGACAAATCCATATCAATGTCTTCATCATCGAGTGTAATTCGCGGTGGGTCCAAATGTGAATTAAAAATAGTTGGAGAATCGTCCACTCGTTTTTCATCATCGCTGGATAGCTTATCAGCTTCGACAACTGGTAGTGTAAGAACAAGAAGTAAATTGGCTGGGCATGCAATCAATGCAATGAACTTGGCAAAGTATGATTTTGATCTGAATCCAGTGAGGGAAGGGAATAAAGTTGGCTGAAATTTCTCCCATATTGAATTCAGGTAAAACTTTTGAATAACTGGGTTCTCCACATCTGCAGATACGTCAGCTGATAGCACTGGCGAAGGAAGCGGTGTGACAGGCGATGGTGGCGATTGAAGGTAGGAATTGGATTGTGGTAAACCATCACCCGGAAATTCAGAGTCAGCTGCCATTGAAGATGGCGAATAGGAAAACGCCAATGGTGATAGCAATGGGCTCCTTGATGGGGTCGGGGGAACGACATTTAAACGTGGTACTTGTAATGCATTCGATGAATCCGATTGTGTGTCATCTGGCTGCAAATTTGTTTCTGCTGACCTCGAACTTTGATCAATGTCAATGTAAGGAGACAAACCGGACGATAGACTAGGTACCCCAGACAGTCCTAGGATATTATCACGTCGAACAGTGTTACTATTACCGGGCGTTGAAAGACCAAACGCATCATATATGGTATCAAGACCAGCCCGAGGATTTTCATATAAGCTACGAAGCGGCGTTGTATTACTGCGCTCTACTCTGGGCCTTTGTATTCCAGGGTGATTAAATTCTGATGAATAACTACGGCCAAATACGCCGAGCGCTCTTGCACTGCTATTCAACTTGAGTGATTTCACAAGATCGCGGAACTAAATTAGTTGTAAGTTCAATAGAATTCATCAGCAATGATGGACATCCAGCTTCGATCGGAAAGAAAAAAGGAGGAAGCAATACTATCTAAAAATGATTTTTTCTTTACCTCAATGGCTCCAAAGAGTGAAGGTCTCATTCCGTGATGTAATGATCTTTGTTTTGCGCCATGGTGGTGATGGAAGCTCCCTGCTTGATCTACAATGTCGCTCATTGTAATGAAAGACGATGGCGAAAAATAATTGTTATAATTTCTGTTCAGCGCAGTCATAGAGATGGGAGTTGTAGCATGACCGGCTTCTTCATCTCGCTCATGGCCTTGTAACAGAAAATCCGTCTCGCCGAACGAGTTATATCCATAAGAATCTTGGTCGTAGTCATCATCATCATTCAGCACTCCACTATCTTCAATTATACTGTCCTCCGACGGGGGAGCGTACTCATCTCGAGCCCTTTGTTCTAGCCATCGATGTCTTTTATTTTGACTTACTCGCCAACTTCCAATAACAACAACACTGACATAGGTAAAATAATACAAAATTAACAGAATGCTTTCCCACATGCGAATATAACCGTCCGAAATAATTATTAGAATAAATAACAAGGCCCCCATAAAAAACAAAACGTCTCTAATGAATGGTATTCTTGTGACGCGAAACGGTCTTACTACTGCCATAGACCCTGCAACCACAGATGATATAAAGGCGGCAGCGCCTATTAATTCTCCAATAGCTAAAGAGCCTGAATTGTTCGACATTGCACTAAACGTGCTAAATACGTCGGGTGATCCATTTCCAAAAGCCAAAAACGTCACACCAGCCTTATCAATGGACAAAAGAGCGAGAATAGTTAATATATAGAACGATGCTATTAGATTCGATCGTATTATATTTCAACGCCGTGATGCTTCTGTATTTACCAAACTTTCGGATAGATTCAAACTCGAAGCAATAGTGTTTAAATTGGGACAGAAAAAGTCCGAGGCAGCTACACCTACGAATCCAAAGAGGAAAAGTAGCCAAAGAAACTTTTCAAAGTGAAAACGGAACCAATTAATAGTTCATTCAATTTGATAAAAGACTATGCATAGGTATGATATATTCCGATAATGACGTACAAGCATTGCAAGAGCGAAAAGCCTGATTTTCTTCATGCCGCAAAAGTAAATTTCGAGATAATTGATCAGTCCGGAAGAATAGTCTCGGCAATTTTCTCTTACGTATGCGCAGACATCTGGATGACTATAAATATCATCGCACTAGACAGTAAGGCAAAAGAAAGAGACATAAATATTACCATCTGAAAGAAGCACAGAGCATTATCAAAAGGAAGTCGTTTCCCAGCATAGAGACGGTTTATCTCAGGATCGTTGCGTTTATTGAGATCCGGGTGGCCCCAATATTAACTAATCAGTGAAAAGGTATCCGTAAGCAGCACACAGTAAATATTTTCTTTGAACGCGTGTGCACGGCAGAGTTCAACGTACTATCTGGACAGCAACGTCAGCATCGCGAAACACACAACGAGCATCGATTTCCCGAGACGCGTCTGCTGCAATTACACTGAACTGCAAAGGCAACCTATCGAGGAGAAACCTAATTACCTCTGTCTGCTCAATAGTGTCCCCTTCCCCCGACATCTGGAAAGCAATCGAGTTGGTTTCTGCAAGAGCTGGGTCAGATCCCTCTAGCGAAACAGACCTTTTTACCAGTTTCACTTCTCGCACAGAATTCCCAAACACATTAGTCTCATGTCGTCTATTCCGCTGTTGTTCCCATAAGAATCCAGCAAAATTGACAAAAACAAGTAGACACAAGAGAAGAAAATATGTTCTTCGATTGATCAAGCTCATGGCATCGTTTACAGAATAATGTATACATATTAATATATTAATATAAACTACTTGTTGGCGGAGGCTTGTCATACATCAAAAAATTCTCATCCTTTTGCGTGACCTACATTCAATTGTTTACAATTTTGCGAGTTTAACGACAATCGTCTACGTCATAAACAATCTATCGAAATAAATTGCTTATTTCGAACTGGCCGATTTCGGAACAATTGCATAACAAAGGCTTTGCATTCGCTACTTGATACAATTTTTTTTGTGCGCTGCTCTTGAATATATAAATACTAAACAAAGGATTGTACCTAGTCCCAAAGCTATCATTATTATCATGAATAATAAATATAATAACTGTTATTAATTCTCTCTTCGTCAATTCAAAGTTGGGCTTTTCCCCAGGATATATTTAAAAGTTTAACCAAACAACTAAAATTTTCCATAGGAAAGAAATTTTAACAATTTACATCTCTTACTATTACTGTATGTATTATAATAATAACAGCTATTGAAAATAATAATAATTCTTATATAATTTTGGCCAAGTTACGTATAAAGTTTAACAGCTTTTAAATAACTTTCGGCTTTTTTTTTATTTTGTTAAATTAAAAACATTCCAATCTTTTTAATGCCTCAAAAGCACTAACTGTCGATATTTATTACTATTATTCTCTCTCACTAAAGAAAAGAATGATATCATCAAATCCTTCTGTTAGTTTCAAAGATATTGTAAAATGAGAAAAACAAGATTTCTTTACGCAACTAGGATAATAATATTGTGCGTTCGAAAATTGTCATCAGTAGTTGCTACAAGATGTAAATCACTTAGGGAGGTAAACCTTCTGTTGCAGAAAACGGGGAATAACATATGGAAAATCTACTTATTCGAAAGTGCTGAAGTTCGAGGATTGCGACACGATAATCGAATTCTCCTGTGCTACCATCGGTGTTACGCAGAAATTAGGGGAGGAATATATGCCATAACATTAGTCTTCACAGACACTCCACCATGAAGATCGCAATGCACAAATCCCGCATAGTGAATAAAATACAGATGCTGTGCAATATCTTTCAAACACTCTAGTTTCATCTTCCACATCAATTTGTTGATATTTTGATCCAAGTAAGACAAAATGTTGCCGTTATTAGCATATTGCATAACAATCATGTACCCCCTTGTTTCTGGATCTTGCATGATTCCATAAATTTCAAGAAAAACCATAACGCGCGCACTTGGTGTGATGTCTGAACTATTAAATAAAAAAAAAATAAATACAGAGTTAGATTAAATTTAATACCAAAGATTGCTTACTTCGGAAATAAACAATTCCGGTGTCTCATCAAAATTTTTAAAGCGTTTGAGGACAATAAGTTTTGATTTGCCTTTATATCTGGCAGTATAGACTGTTCCATAACCACCAGATCCAATCTCATTGATTTCAGCAAAATCCGCATGCTGCATATACTTAACATCTCCATTAATCCGCGCTTCGTAGTAGAATACCAAACAATATTTTCGAGTAGATGGCTTTGAGTGATACCAATGATCCAAATATTTTCTGGTGTTAATATCTCCGGATATTCCTTGGTTAACTATTAATACAGTCGTTATAAAAAATCAATCAACGTGCGCGGACGCAAGTAATTCTATTTATATTTGAGTTGAAATAATTTACCTGATAAAAATCAAATAACCGAGCTCTATCTGTCTGAGCATTACTCTTGTCCATTCATTTGTTATCGGTTCTAAAAATTCTGCCATATGTGTGTAATGGTGTCATATCTCGTACGTTTGTCAATAGAGGGTACTCTATCCATTGTATATAGGCATTATGTTTATTCTTCGCATTACGCCACGATTCCATAATAAACGAATCCAAAGATTTATTGCCCGTAGTCCAATCGGGAGACCTTGGTGCTTTACAACGATAACAGAATATATTTATCTTAGGTTCTAATCGACGCGTACATGCCAGACATACTCCAATCTTATCTCGTTCTTTTATATAATACTTCTATTCACTTGCATCATATGTAAATCCAATGGTCACCCAAACATCTGTGGTAAGAATATCTTGATGCTCATCACATAACTATAAAAATTATACACAAAATCAAAAATTATCTAAACAATCGATAAACACGATATATTCATGACGAATAGTAATATGACTCGTCCGTCTCATCTGTTATGTCAAGTGGAATCCATTTTACTCCAAGATAAGTAGTAATAGATAGACTATTATTTAAGTATACACGATATCCCTTATTATCAATACAATCACTCTAATCGTTTGCTGAGTTCGTTTGTATTTGAGATTTCTTAATAAACTCGTCGAGTCGTTTATTGTTGCTAGTCTATCCATTGGATAATTTTTTATGTCCACATCGGAGTATTCCACATGCAGAGCAGAATCCATATAGAAAATAATAATGATAAAAGCGCTTACGAGCAACCAGATAATAGTTATCTTCATGCTTGGTGAATCCTTGTAGCGATGTCTAAGCCATGTGGAAAATCTTCTAAACTGACTGGCATCATTGTTGTGCTTGCGTGTTGAAAGAGAGTATATTCTAGCAACTTCTCTCATATGAGTTGGTGTACATATTTCCTCGCTTCCAAGTAACAGCATCACTATCATCGTTTCTTCAATGCTACCGCCATGAAACATTTGTTTGCAAATAGCGCAGTCAATTCGGCTTGACTTATGTCAGTGATTTCCGCATTAAGTTCATAATATTCAGCCGCTAAAGAGGTGCCGTCTATTATTGTACGAGCCCCTAAAACAGATGACATCGTTCAAGTCAAAGAATTCGATGGCATAATATCGACAAAAGCTTTTGTTTGTTGGACAAGTATAAAGTTAGCAACCATTGTCAGCGTAATGCATTACGGCTATGCACGCTCTACGTCTTTGGTTTTCTCTATAAACCTAAGAATCGTAAAATAATTTTCACCACTGAATAAAAATTGGTTAACAATTCCGTCATTTGATCGAAATCCGTTATACTGTATTTGAGTCACATGAAACATCATTACATTAAGCAATAATTTCTTTATAAACAATTGTTTAGATTAAATATTTAATTGTTTCCTCGTAGAAAGGAATCCAAAATGCCTGTCATTTTGATGACCAACATAATTAGTAATTCGTGAACTGCTTTACCGCTTGTGACAATAGGAAGCCGTTCTTCGGGCTTATCGAGGTTTATCTGGTGTCAACTCTCTTTCAATTAATGGGTATTTCCTGAGGACTAAACTCATTATTAATTTAAATAAGCAATTGGTCAATATATTGTCGGCAACTTTTTTGTCTTCATAATTATTAATTTAAAAAATACATTTATTTATCATTAATATTCGCGTTGGATTGTGGTTTTCTTCCAACTGTTTGAATTGTGTTGATCTTACGTTATCTCACGTCCACGCAGCTAATATCAAAATTTTGATTTAATGGGTTGTGTTTAATTCAATAGAATGGTCTATTCGATAAAATAATAAAGTGATAATTTACGATTATTATGTAAGTTTTCGCTGTATTACAAGGCCATGTTAATATAATACTGCCGAGATTATCTACTATCATAGAGATCAGTTTAATTAAAATTATACGCGTGATTTACGACTTAATAACCAATGAAAATTATTTTACCACGTGTGTTCTAAAACGCTACACTAATACTATTGTTCTCTTTTACGGAAACAATCGTGACAATACGGAATTCGCCGCTATATGATGTCATGATGTGTTATATTAGACAGATGTCGATATCATTTATGCTTTCTATTGGTTAACAGTAGTCTTTCACACTCCCTATTGCATAAATAACAACATTAACAATATCAAGTAGTACTAATATTATCATCTAACACGCGAATACGCGTCTACTCATATATATATATCAGGACGCTTTTCTCCATTGCACATGTATCGCTTCACAACAACCTCTTCTCTCCCAAAGCACAAACCCAACATTATTTAAATATACAACGAATATACCTTTGCTGCCACGCCATGTTACGCTCACGAACGAGTCTCAAACAACGGACTCTTAACACTCAACGTCGACACGGTTTACCAACCACATAACCAACGAAAAGAGTTTGCACAAGGGCGAACATTCTGCCCCTCCACACTAACGTATGGCACACAACACAAATCTGCTTCTTACCACACCGAGTGAATAATAAAGAAGTTTGGGGAAACTTGTATTATACGTACGTTTATTAATTTGTTCAGATTTCGACGTCTTTTCAACAAACATATCTTCTCGCTTCACTAAATTTAATAATCGCGTCATGAAATAACCAATAATTATTATTATATCTATTATATTAATTAGATTTCGAAAAGTTTTCGACACATAATCTTGCTCTTCCCACTACTTTAACTCTATACTCGGACCGGTTTTGACTGTATAAACTTTCTATCGGCGCGCGCCAAGTCCACTCGGCGTATTCACCAACATCAATCCGAAAACCGCAGGAATTTGGACACACCTCAAAACGCATGGGCGCTGTTTACGCTCTCAATGTTTTGACGGACTGCACACTATCAAAGAAATTTTCACTACTGGATGACAAAGAAACAAAATAGAGAGAAGAAATACAATAAATGCTGTATTAGAAAAAGCGACAAGGTCTAAGCTCAATACCCAAGCGATCTAATACGCCGGTGCCAGAAGCCCCGACATCAACGAATAGGACGAGGTAAGTAGAAGGGTGAATGGGAAAGTAGATCAAAAGCGCATGATTAGGTACCTAAGAAAATATTTCGTATAACACTCTCTGTTTACTTTTATCCAGTGATAACCTACTATATATATTACTATGTCAAAGCGACTTTATATACGTAATATTTATACCGACGTTTACTTATCCACGACAACTTTCTTAAGAAACTACCTTTCTCATGTGATTAATTCTATTTGTCGTATATTGGAAAGTTCAGACGACAGAAATAGGTAAATGGGCGGATAATAATCGCTGACTAAAAAATATGCTTTTA